GACATCTCTCGGCTTCAACTCGTACGGCACCCAATGTCCTTGCTTTTGAATCATTCCTAATCCTTTTAAACGTTTCGAAACTGTTGTGTGATCAACTCCTAATGATTCTGCAAGTTCAGCTAGCGTCTGACATGAGTCTTCATGAAGTAATGCCTCTAATTCCTTGTCTTCAAACTTTTTTGGTGCACCAGATCGTTCTTTATCTTCAACATCAAAATCATTATTTTTGAAGCGTCTAAACCAATCTCTGCATGTTGTTTCCAACAGAGCATGGTCGCCGTAAGTCTCAACAAGAATTCTGTGTGCTTCAGCTGCAGATTTTTTTTGAATAAAATAGTGCAATAAAATTCCCCGCAAATACTCTTTTTTTGGCACAAAACTAGACATGTTTAACACAATGAAAAAATAAGTTGTTTACACTTCGGTGAAATCACGTATACTGAATTTCAAGGTCGCTTATTGTACTTCCTTACAGATGCATCACCATCTAAAAATAAACACACGTGGTTCTGGTATATATCATAGACCCATGTTAAAGGTATGATAGCAGATGTATATCACTATTTAAACATTTATATAGGGCAACCCACATGCTGGGCAGGTCAAGCATGGAAGTGTTGAATGGCTCCAAGGTTGTTGTAAGGAAATATTACCATATAAACATGAGTTTCCAGTCATTGCAGCATCTGAGTAGCATTATTTGAGCCGATAATAGGTTGTAGTTCTGTTCGAGCACCTTTTTTGCAAGCTCCATGGTATGCTTTCCTTTCACAGTCATCCTGGTGCTCACTAGGCAGCTAGCAAGCATTCATGTTATGGTCCCAACGTATCTTGTGTTCATCCTCGTTATGGGATTCTCGAATGATACAGCATAGATTCCCGATTTTTCAGAGGAGGAAAATTTATCTCAATCATTGCAAATGAGTCTGCACAAATTTGGTAGCGAAGATAGGGGCGGAGAAAGTTATGTTGCCTGAATATATGGCAAATGCTTATGGAAAGAGGTCCAAAGTATGGTAATGATGGTTGAACTACTGACACCTCACTCTTGTTATGTAGTGTTGTGCTTGGAAATAGAGATTCCATGACCATGT